TGTATATATATTTATATATAATATGATAACACCTACGTATATATGTGTGCACCTCTTGCTATGTTCAACTGGAGACCGGTAACCACTCAATCGTTGCACGACGCCGCCAAACCTGATAATTCTCCGTGTCCTCCAGTCTGGAGATTTACACAGAAAATAACTTTGATGCGTACATATCAATTCATAACGTTTATTGTGAGCTTATAGACAAGGAAAGCGCAGAATGAATCAAGAGAGACTGACTGACATATAGACTTTACTGTTAATTATACCCTATAGCTAAGTATTTAATACTATAACCACGCATCTTTATGCAACTATAACACATGAAAAGGGTACTTACAATTTAATTCATTTCGGTATGCGTGTGTTATCCTGATTAATCCATTTATATGCTGTAATTAAACGAGTGAACACCATGATTTAAGTATGAAATTATAACAGCTACGGAAGCTTCAGTTGAGCAAGAATTCCTTTACTCCTTTACCGTTACAAGAACCCCATATACTTACGTTAGCTGAAATTATGATGCACATTCGAAGTTGACACAGCTTGAATCTTTAACGCCAAAAACTCAGCGAGAACATGGCGGGGACGCTTCGGGCCACGTGTATACTGACCGTGATATATATGGCGAGAAAGAAGCCCGTCACGGCGTGACGAAAGTCCATGTGATTCATTTATATATGCGCGCTTTGTATGTTGAACATACTGGCAGGCTAAAGAAATAATATATGCTCGTTGTGTCTGATACACAATAACATACAATTCAATAAAGATTGAGTTTAGATAATTTTAAACCCAAAATTGTTCAGGTTCGTGCTTCTCCCGCTCTCCCTCTCTGCCGTCCTCTCTCTCCTCTCTGCGTTCCTATCTCTAATGCTTGCCTTCTTCTCTCTCCTCTCTGCCTTCCTCTCTCCCCTCTGCCTTCCTCTCTCGCCTCGCCGCCTTGCTCTCGCCTCGCCGCCTTGCTCTCTCTCCTCTCTACCTTCCTCTCTCTTCTCTCAGCCTTCCTCTTTCGCCTCTCTGTCATCCTCTCTCTTCTCTGCCCTACTCTTTCTCTTATCTGCCCTACTCTTTCTCTTCTCTGCCTTCCCCCTCTCTCTCCCTCTCTCTCTCTCTATCTCTCTCTCGCTGCCGTCCTCACTTCTCTCTCTCTTTCTCCCGCTGCCTTCCTCTTTACTCTCTCTTCCTCCCCTCTCGCTTCCGTCTCTCTCTCTCTCACTCCACTTAGGTGTGCATTCTTATATCTGTCTACATTTCTTTATCGCTCTTTCGCTCGCTCGCTCTCACTCTCTCTCGCCCTCTCTCTCTCTCGCCCTGTCTCGCCCTTTCATCTACCCTCTCTGTCTCCATTTATCTTTCTCTCTCACTTTCTCTCTCTCTCTCAATCTATATATCTTTCTATTCATGTATCTAACTCTGTCGCCTTTTCTTGTGCGCTCTCTCTCTCTCTCTCTCTCGCTTTCTGTCTAGCTATCTATCTATCTCTCTCTTTCTGCATGCCTCCCTCTCTCTCTCTCTGTGTTTCTCTCTCTGCCTCTATCTCTCTCTTTCTGCATGCCTCCCTCTCTCTCTCTGTGTTTCTCTCTCTGCCTCTCTCTTTCTCTCTGCATGTCTATCTATCACTCGCTCGCTCTCGCGCGCTCTCTTTCGCTTGCTCTTTATCTCTCTTTCGCTCGCTCCTCTCTCATCTTCTCTATTACGATCACCTTATACAAGTAGCCGGTCAAGATACTCTACAAGGCACAGTCGGGTTACGAACAATCTAAGGAAGCGTTTTACTTCCCGATCCAGGTTCTACGGTTTAGCATGTGGGAGGTACCCTTAAGGGTAGCATCAGGTTGCGTCGATAGAGTCCACGATTGATAGCACAGATAGATAACACGAACTCAGTATTATAAAGCTACTCTCCGTTTGTTCTATTATACCACAGAATATTCTCTATACTACATACTACATAGATGACTATACAGATGACAACGTACACACAGAATCGTAACCGAACATCAGTAATTTCGTACCTTAGCGCGGCGGTTCACGGAGACGCTCGGCCGGGGTGAAGGTGAACGGTAGAAGATGGACGGAGAAATATAGCGGACTACGTGTGAGAATAACAAGGCACGATAAGAGCGAGACAACAACTGGACTGTTCGGTTCAAAGGATCAGAGCCAAGTCCGCTGCTACCTGCATGGAGGGATTCTGATCATTCAGCGCGGCGCGGCTGCCCGCATCGGTTGTGTGGGAGCAGCTAACGCAATGCTATCCGCATAGCATAGTATAGTATAGTATAGTATAGTATAGTATAGTATAGTATAGAAGCTGTGGGTATTGATGTGCTATGAGAAAAATGCAGCTGCTGACACTACGTAATGCCGTGCCGGCTGCGAGGCGATGCGCGAATCTGTAAAAGGGGGGTGGGCGTGACGTATGGAGTAACGATTTCTTGTGTGAGGCGCGGTACGACGGGAAAGAAAAGAGCGGTAGCACGCAGTAAAACGACAGATTTAAAGCGTTAAAAAGGGGTGGGAAGGGATGAAAGGTAAGCGAGGCGTGAGAGGAAGAACTAGGCGTGAGAAAAAAAACCGGTGAGGGGAAAAAACAGCGGTAACAGCGGTAATCGTTACGCGCGATCGCGTCTAGCGCGATTTATATCGCAATCAGACGAATTTATTTACGAAAACGCTAATAGTTTGAGCATACGTTAGTCTAGCAAGAAATCGTCGCCCTTACGTGATCATGGCGGAGACGAGACGCTACGATGGTGTCTATACGACGGTACGATGTGTGTCTCGTTGCATACAGGCGACGTCGATCGCGGTACAACTCGTGCTTAGCGCGGCGGTTCACGGAGACGCTTGGCCGGGGTGAAGGTGAACGGTAGACGAACAAATATAGCGCACTACGTGTGAGAATAACAAGGCACGATAGGAGCGGGACAACAACTGGACTGTTCGGTTCAAAGAATCAGAGCCAAGTCCGTTGCTACCATCCGGAGCCAAATCCGGTCCACTCATATGACGCAGGTGCATTACCGCGGGATCACCAATATGTGTCTGTTGTAATTTATGGTGATTGCTTGCCGTGCTGCGAACTAATATATACTATCTGTGAAGCCGCGGCGCTTTCCTACAACAAAATGGATATAAAATCTCGCTTGTAAATACATTTTGCGAATATCCTAGTCCAATTTAATTCGAGCTTCCTTTCATTCACACTATAAACCTTATAATAACCCATATAACCTCTCCCAATAGTCAGCGCACGTTAAATATATACCATATATACAATATACCACACAATCTGATATTTGCAACATATCGCTAATGCTAGAAAACACCAGCAGATTCATAACATAGATTCATAACATATGACTGTGTGCCATAGTATAATAATACTCCCTACGTTAAAAACAACTTTTTTTGGTATGCTCAACTGGCGAGTGGTGCACGACGTTGGCTCGAAAATATGTTGATTCTCCTTGTCCTTCAGCAACGTGATTGTCACTAGAAATTTGACATGCACGAATTTAACATCAGCTGGTTTATATGAACTTGGAAAACGAAAAGTGGAGAACTAATCCGTGGATATTGACTCGCATATAGACTATCTGGCAATGTTGCCCAGGCTGACAGGTTCAAGAGATGATAAATACTGTTTTGGTATAATGCACAATAATTACATATTTATTATAAATGTTGTATATATATTTATATCTCTCTCTTTCTCTCTGCATGTCTATCTATCTCTCTCGCCACCCTCTATCACTCGCTCGCTCTCGCGCGCTCTCTTTTGCTCGCTCTTTATCTCTCTTTCGCTCGCTCCTCTCTCATCTTCTCTAATACGATCACCTTATACGGTGAAGATAGTAGCCGGTCAAGATACTCTACAAGGCACAGCCGGGTTACGAACAAAATGGACAAAAAATCTCGCTTGTAAATACATTTTGCGAATATCCTAGTCCAATTTAATTCGAGCTTCCTTTCATTCACACTATAAACCCCATAATAACCCATATAACCTCTCCCAATAGTCAGCGCACGTTAAATATATATCATATATACACTATACCACACAATCTGGTATTTGCACCATATCGCTAATGCTAGAAAACACCAGCAGATTCATAACATAGATTCATAACATATGTGTGCCATAGTATAATAAATAATACCTACGTTAAAAACGACTTTTTTGGTATGCTCAACTGGCGAGTGGTGCACGACGTTGCCTCGAAAATATGTTGATTCTCCTTGTCCTTCAGCAACGTGATTGTCACTAGAAATTGGACATGCACGAATTTAATATCTGGTTTATATGAACTTGGAAAACGAAAAGTGGAGAACTAATCCGGGGGGATTGACTCGCATATAGACTATCTGGCAATGTTGCCCAGGCTGACAGGTTCAAGAGATGATAAATACTGTTTTGGTATAATGCACAATAATTACATATTTATTATAAATGTTGTATATATATTTATATATAATATGATAACACCTACGTATATCTCTGTGCACATCTTGCTATGTTTAACTGGAGACCGGTAACCACTCAATCGTTGCACGACGCCGCCAAACGTGATAATTCTCCGTGTCCTCCAGTCTGGCGATTGACACTGGAAATAACTTTGATGCGTACATATCAATTCATAATGTTTATTGTGAGCTTAGACAAGGAAAGCGCAGAATGAATCAAGAGAGACTGACTGACATATAGACTTTACTGTTAATTATACCCTATAGCTAAGTATTTAATACTATAACCACGCATCTTTATGCAACTATAACACATGAAAAGGGTACTTACAATTTAATTCATTCCGGTATGCGTGTGTTATCCTGATTAATCCATTTATATGCTGTAATTAAACGAGTGAACACCATGAATTAAGTATGGAATTAAAATAGCTACGGAAGCTTCAGTTGAGCGAGAATTCCCTTACTGCTTTACCGTTACAAGAACCCCATATACTCACGTTAGCTGTAATTATGATGCGCATTCGAAGTTATCACAGCTTGAATCTTTAACGCCAAAAACTCAGCGAGAACATGGCGGGGACGCTTCGGGCCACGTGTATACTGACCGTGATATATCTGGCGAGAAAGAAGCCCGTCACGGCGTGACGAAAGTCCAAGTGATTCATTTATATATACGGGCTTTGTATGTTGAACATACTGGCAGGCTAAAGAAATAATATATGCTCGTTGTGTCTGATACACAATAACATACAATTCAATAAAGATTGAGGTTAGATCATTTTAAACCCAAAATTGTTCAGGTCCGTGCTTCTCTCGCTCTCCCTCTCTGCCGTCCTCTCTCTCCTCTCTGCGTTCCTCTCTCTAATGCTTGCCTTCTTCTCTCTCCTCTCTGCCTTCCTCTCCCCCCTCTGCCTTCCTCTCTCGCCTCGCCGCCTTGCTCTCTCCTCTCTGCCTTCCTCTCTCCCCTCTGCTTTCTCTCGCCTCGCCGCCTTGCTCTCTCTCCTCTCTACCTTCCTCTCTCTCCTCTCTACCTTCCTCTCTCTTCTCTCTGCCTTCCTCTTTCGCCTCTCTGTCATCCTCTCTCTTCTCTGCCCTACTCTTTCTCTTATCTGCCCTACTCTTTCTTTTCTCTGCCTTCCCCCTCTCTCTTCCTCTCTCTCTCTCTATCTCTCTCCCGCTGCCGTCCTCACTTCTCTCTCTCCCTCCCGCTGCCTTCCTCTTTACTCTCTCTTCCTCCCCTCTCGCTTCCTTCTCTCTCTCTCACTCCACTTAGGTGTGCATTCTTATATCTGTCTACATCTCTTTATCGCTCTTTCACGCTCTCTCTCTCTCTCTCTCTCTCTCTAATGCTCATTCTTACCCTCTCTTTCTCTCCCCTCCCTCTCTTTTCGTTTCACTATCTCTCTCGTCCTCTCTTCTCTCTGTCTCACGCTTGTGTATTCTTTCTCTATTTTTCTATCTCTTTATCTGTCCCTCCCTCCCCTCTCTATTCGTCTCCCCTCTCTCCCGCCCTATCTGCTCTCACACACACACACACACACACACACACACACACACACACACACACACACTCACATACACGTGACCTATGAATTTCGTAATCATATCGTGATTGATTGAAAGCGCGCAGCTACCATAAAGCTCGCTAGATGGCGCTCAAGTCTCACTTAGCACTCGGAAGCGCTAACGCTGGCTGGTAATGCTTGTCGACAACCTCTTTGTGAGTCTTCTTCCACTTCATCCTCCGATTCTGAAACCAGATCTTTAGATGTCTTTCCGTCAGGTCTAGAGATCGCGCCAGTTCGACCCTCCGCGCGCGCGTGATGTATTGGTTGAACTGGAACTCCTTTTCCAGTTCCAGCAGTTGACTTCGCGTGTAGGCGGTTCGCGTTCGCTTGTTCACATCGAATATCGTGAGCGGCGCACCTGCGGGGCAGACGACGTGATAATTACGGAACCGCAGTCAGAATCTAAAATCTGATTACAGCTCTCACCTAGAGCGTTAGATGGCAGGCGATGGTGTGCAATGTAATTCGTGGAACATAGCGAGCGAAAAGTGTTACTTGTCAAATGTGTTCCAATGTCCTTATTCAGAGTTGTTAGTTTTAATTGGGAGTGTGATACGGATGAACACTATTTCATATATAAATAAATATATATATGTGTATATATATATATATATATATCACCATTGATTGTGTAAACGATGTGCAACGACATGCTCATTTTGCTTTTACATAAAAACATGTTACAGTAAAACGACGAGCAATCCGGAACAATGAATTATAAATGTTCACACCTTGACTCCATTAGTGCCATTGTCGCTCTCCTAATTAGCTAGGTTCGCTCACGCTTGATCAGACAAAATCTAGCAGCTCCTAATAGATAAAGTAACCACCCATAATGCACCGCGAACAACGCACGCGCGTATCGCGGGAACAAATGGAGAAAGGAAATAGGATATGGCTAGTTTCGCATCAAACGCCGGCAAGCTTCGCGAGATTAGCTTACCGACAATGCCGTGGCGGGTAAAGGGTAGAGAGCGATACTGACTAGGCGGCGATGCAATCTTTCACGAGTAATCGGTATGATCTGTTTGAGGTTTGCGACAGCATACGCGTTTGTTTTCAGCGAGAATGTGTGGGGTTGCGACGCGCTGACGTCGTGCGAGCGTGTACGTGCATGTGCTACATCTGAGATCTGGTGACGTCCCTCGGCTCAAATATCATATACTTCTAAAGTCTAAACCATTTAACGACACCTCGTTACCGTTAGTAAATGTTAAGCTACTGGAAAAGACTGGCAACAGCAAGTATTCGGGGAATCATTCTATGTCTACTATTTCACTATTCTCTACGCTTGGCAATGAGGGTTAAATCATATGCTGCAGGCTTGCGATAGAGTTGCCTCGTTGTTTAACAATGGCATGCGACAATAGTGCACGTGACGGAGGGCTTGTCAGAAGATTTGAATTGAAAAAAGGGCTCGTCAAATACCCGAGGTCATTCGCATTACACCGTTGTTAAATCATTAATGAACAAGTTAAATGGTTTTCTCATTTTTCCTAAACATTTCTATAATCATCCGTCCGCCGATGCATTATTCGACACTATCTACAGACTCTTTCAGCTCAGAATGTCGCCCATTAAAATTTCAATGTATTAATTCTAAATTTAGTCAAATATTTTTTTGGCTATGATTAAATTGTGCCATGCGCCATGGACCAACACGCCGCCAGCCGGCGGTACGACCAACGTCTCCGTACGCGACACACACACACACACACACACACACACACACACACACACACACACACACACACACACACACACACACATATGCGTATGAAGGCTGCGAAATCGTTATGCCATTATGATGCCGAGGTTTTCTGTTTTCTTTTGATCATAGGAGGTGTCGAGGTGTCGACGCTAACTAACAAGTTACATAGCGCTAACACACAATAACACAATAACACAATAACACAATAACAACAATGAACTTACCCTAGTTATTATAAATATGCGCATTCGAAGTTGTCACAGCTCGAGCCTTTGACGACAAAAACACAGCGAGAACATGGCCGGGACGCTTCGGGCCACGTGCATACTGACCGTGATATATCTGGCGAGAAAGAAGCCCGTCACGGCGTGACGAAAGTCCAAGTGATTCATTTATATATGCGCGCTTTATAATTATTTCTGACACTAGGTGGCAGGTCATATTTGCTTACATATGCACTACGATGGCTATGCTGAACATACTGGCAGGCTAAAGAGATAACAAATGCTCGTTTTGTGTAATACACAATAACATACAATTCGATAAAGAAGAACGAGTTTTTGAACTAAAACTTGTTTGCGTACATGATGAGCATGCGCTTCTATCTCTCTCTCTCTCTTTTTCTCCTTTCTCTTCTCTCTCTCTCATCCATCTATCGAAATATGTATTTATCTATCTATCTATCTATCTATCTCTTTATCTACCTACCTATCAACCTGCCTACCTATCTACTTATCTACCTATCTATCGATTTATCTTTCTATCTATCTACCTACTTTACAATATACCGATTTTTTACGCTGGGGTCGCAACCATCCAATGGCCTTAAGAAAAGCGATTTTTGAAATTTGAGATTCTGAGATCTACTGTCGGAAACAATTATAGCGTTTGCATATATAAAATAAAGTCAAGCCGATTTACACAGGGTTTCGTGATGTTGTGACGGGCTTCTCTCTCTCTCTCTCTCTCTCTCTCTCTCTCTCTCTCTCTCTCTCTCTCTCTCTCTCTTCCTGTCTCTCTCCCTCTCCCTCTCTCTCTTTCAAGGGATGCATCCATCTATCCATCCATCCATCCATCCATCATCCTTACGACCTAGGAGTAGCAGGCGAGTCCTCAGTCAGGCGGCGGCATCCGGCGGCAACGGTAGCGTGGTGACGAGCAGCAGGTGAGAGCAGTGGGTACTAGCAGCGACGTGAACTGTTAGGCACCGTGGAACTGTGTCTGTCTTCTTGTCGAAACTGTTCGGTATTTATGCAGCTGGAGGAATGCATGGCCCAAGTGTCCTCAAGGCCTTGTCGCATGTAATGGTGCAATCATGTGTCCTTCTCCAGAATTTTATGGACAACTGAAGGTGAGAGACATCCTTCCTAGCGTGAGAACGGCAGCTGGAGACCTTGCAGATATGGTGGCGGCATCGATAGAAGTTTCTCGAAGCCGTCGTGAGCGGCCTTCTATGGGTACTAAAAATGTCATAGTGCCGCCTTGTGCCACACCGCTGATGCCACGAGCACGCGGCGTGTTCGGCTCGCCAATGGTGAAGTATGGCACAATGTTAACCCTTGTTGGGTCGTAAAACCTGTGCGATGCCGATGTTAGAGGTCCCGCTGTGTCACTCCTATTTCTTTCAGCCTTGTGTAGGTGATTACTTTCACTCCGCTGTCGTCGCATTTTTCCTCTTCTTTGTTGTGCCACGCGCGCGCCACGCGCCCGGCGTGTGCGGCTTGTGATCGTCATAGTAGCAGACGTAACCCTGGGCGGGTCGTAACATCGATCGGTGCGACTTCGACTAGGCATCCCGCTGCGCCGTCTACATTTTCTCTCGCATATTTCTTTTACTTATTGTGACCTTGAGCTGTTTACTAAAAATAGCTATGATGCTATCGGCTAACGTTAAACCGACCCGTGTCGCTAGGTTTTATACTATGTTAATTAATTCGATATCTACGTCATTACACTCTCGATCTAGCTCTCTCTCTCTCTCTCTCTCTCTCTCTCTCTCTCTCTCTCTCTCTCTCTCTCTCTCTGAGACAAGCACAAAATAATAATATTATAGAAGGTGCTTATAATTATGCAGAACCACATGCATGTTCAAAAACCTGGAGGGGACATTTGATAGTGTGTCCCCCACCCTTCAAAAATTGGGGGGACGCGTCCCCCATGTCCCCGTGGCATTTGCGCCCATGACAGTATTGACTGAAGAACATTGAATAATATAGCTTGCTATGAGAGAAGGAGGGTTGGGAGACTGAGAAAAGGTGGCAGGGAAGAAAGCTGAGGGCGGTAAAAAATAATCAGGCCGAGCGAGAGACAGAGGGTGAGGCAAGGGAAGGACAGGAGGGGATAAATTAGTAGTTTTAATTCCCACAGGCAAAGGCGCTCTCCCAATCATAAATACAGGTTTACTGATAACAGTTTATTTCATAAATTTATGCTGAGATATCCTCTAACTATTTTAAATGCATATCCATCACAAAATATAACTCCTTTTGTAAGATATTGCGCATGCGCTAACACACTAACGTAGCCAAATTCTGTACTGATTGGTATATGCAGCGGGCACTTTACATGCGAGGTCTTCTTCCTATTTCTCAAGAGCGGTATACTTGTGAAATATTATCATATAAATCTATGCTAGAATACCTCCTCCCTATTCTAAATGCATAATTTTTGCAAAATATTCTTCTTTTCGGGAGATATTGCGCATGCGCGAGCACCGTTTCAGGCGTACAGTATGGACTAAAGAACATTGCATAATATAGCTTGCTATGAGAGAAGGAGGGTTGGGAGACAGAGGAAAAAAGGCAGGGAAGAAAGCTGAGGGTGGTAAAAAAGAATGAGGCAGAGCGAGGAACAGAGGGGGAGGCAAGGGAAGGACAGGGGGGGATGAATAAGTAGTTTTGCTCTCCACAGGCTAGGGCGCTCTCCAAATCATCAACACAGGTCTACTGATAACAATTTATTTTATCAATCTATGCTGAGATATCCCCTAACCATTTTAGATGCATATCCATTACAAAATATAACTCCTCTGGTGAGATATTGCGCATGCGCTAACACACTAACGTAGCCAAATTGTGTACTGACTGGTATATGCAGCGGGCACTTTACGTGCGAGGTCTTCTTCCCATTTCTCAAGAGATGTATGCTGATGAAATATTCTTATATAAATCTATGCTAGAATACCTCCTCCCTATTCTAAATGCATAATTTTTGCAAAATATTCATCTTCTCGGGAGATATTGCGCATTCGTGAGCACCGTTTCAGGCATACAGTATGGACTGAAGAACACTGCATAATATAGCTTGCTAT